TTTATTGTTATTATTTTATTATTAATTATTATAAGATGACTAGTAGTTTATTAATGAATTTCGAGTGAGATGACGACGGATTCATTTTGGACTTTGTTGCAACATTCTTGTTGACACTGTCTCCATGGCAATCTCTTGCTATTTCACTGAGCATTTGCGAAGCTTTTGTCCGTCGAGGGATTGAGAAGATTGCGTACTATCGGGGACCTTTCTGGTTCTTTCACTCCCTCGATGTATGATTGTGCGTAAGAGAGAGAGAGAGTAAATGAGGACACATAGAAAGTGTGTTTAGGTGTCGTTGACATCGGACAGGACTGCGCTTCGAATCTCTTCATCAGGCACCTTCACTCGATATGGAAGCAAGTTGAAGAATGACAAACCGAGAGGTTCATTGAAGCTGAACCTCTCTTTGCATACCATTGTATTTTATGCTGCCATGAATCTGGTTCAAGTGGATGGGCAGGGCAGAATGGGATTCCAGTTAATTGTAGGTGAGCTCCACACAGTCGTGTGTGGAAGAATTCAAGTTAACTATGAATTCACGTGAAGTCGCCATGTTGAGGCAGACGAGCCAGGCACCCTTTTTCTCGGACCATGTCGCACTCCGCTAAGCCTCTTGCTTCTGCACGACCCACAGTTCGAGCAAAGTGGAGGCGCGCAAAAAGCTGGCCCTCAGCACCACGGCGTACATGGCAACACTGGGCTGCAGCACAGGTCCCAGCCTCGAGACCCCGCTCTTCTCACCGGCGTCTACTCTGACCCTGCAGGAGTCGACAAAGGCCAACGACAGCTTGCTGATGGGATCTACGGCCGGAGCAACAACAACACATGGTCTCGCTGGAGGCGGAAACCATGGCAACACGGCCAGTCTCACGGCAGGATTGGGGGTCGACGTGGGCATGGCGGGTGTTTTGGTCGGTGGCACGGGCAGATACAGCAGCATGGGCGGACTGTTGCAGCGCGCCTCACTGGAGGTCGGCTCGGCCGGCGCTAATTTAGTGGGAGGAAGCGTTGCCACAGCAACTCCGTCGAGTCTAGCCCAAGTGCCGTCTCGTGGTACAACACCTACTCGTCTGGGACGGCAGTCGGATCTCGGCCTCTACGGCGTCTCTGGTGGTGCGGGCACTTTGGGTGAGTGGCATCAGCCAGTTAGTTTGGCGACTTTGCATATATGTAGATATAATTTTCTAAATAATTAAGTATTTATGGTATATAATTTTTGTGAATTCCGTGTATGTATATTTTTTTTGTATAGCTACTTCAAGATTTATATAAATAGCCTCAAATAGACCTTGCTCAGGAAATAGTGACCAAGTCACACTGTACAAAACTTTGGCAACAGACTTCATCATATCGCCTCTCATGCAAAAGACCCAGATAAACCCGGTAATCACGATATGAAAGTA